CAAGAAGCAATGGGTGGAAACTAATCAAGGAGAGAAGCAACCTAGAACTAGGGAGAAATTTCCTGAAAGTTCGAACAATTAGCCAGTGGAACTGCTTGCCTCCAGAAGTTGTGAATGCTCCAGCGCTGGAGGCTTTTAAGAAGTGGTTGGACAGCCCCTTGTCTGAAACAATTTAGGGTTTTCTGCTTCAGCAGGGGGTTGAACTAGAACCGTGATGGCGAACCCATGGCACGCATGCCCAAAGTGGCACATGGAGCCATGTCTCCTGGCATGCGCGGAGGCATCCGTTCCTCTTCCAGGTTTCTGGTGCGCATGTGTATGCAACGATCAGCTGGCCTTTGTCCATGCGACAGTGCCGGAAACCAGAAGAGCTGGTCTTCTGGTTTCTGGATGAGCATGTGCGCCAGCCAGCTGATCGTTGTGTCAGCATGCGCGGCAGTAACCGGAAGACTTGCTGGCCGATGTACATGCGCGTGACGGAAACTGGAAGTTCATTTTCCAGCACGCGCATCCCTCCCCTCCTGGGCAGCTCCTCTTCCTGGTCGCGGCCCAGATGAGTGTGAAGTGCTCCCTTTTCGGCAGGTGCCGAAAAGATTTGCCATCACTGGACTAGGAAATCTGCAAGGTTCCTTCCGACTCAGTGGTGGGATCCAGGTGGTACGGCCCGGTACAGGAGTACCAGTGGTAGCTGGGAGCAGCAGCCAACGTACCGGAGGCTCGTTTGGCCCATCTGCCTGCCCACATTCCATACTGTTTTTTGATGCAAATGGGCAATTGTGCACACGGGCACAGCATTCGGCGCCTGCGTGACCTCCGCCGAGCAGCTGCGTGTCGCATGGAGCCCAACTAGGACGCCCGGCCCCGTGCGCAGCGTACCAGTTGCGACGGGATCCAGAATCCATCACAGCTGTGGATCATCGGGATTCCCAGATGGGAAGAGGGAAGCCCCATACAGGAGGCTGGTTCAGATTTGGAAGACAGATGCAGTCAAAACCTGGGTTCGCCTGTCTCTCGTACGGCGGACAGGGGAGGGGTGGGGGCTAAATGCCCTTTCTCTGCTCCTCGGAACCTGTCACATTTATGGAGGGGGGGGGTGATTTTCGACAGACTGGCGAGAGGATTAATCTAAATCGAGCTGCTAAGCCGGCATGGGGGCCCCGACTGCACCTTTAAAGGTTAAATTGCAGCAAATGGAGAGAAAAAAAGAGGGGGGGGGAACAAATCAGGATGAAAATTCCAATCGGGTGAGTTGCCACAGTCCCTCGTTCGGAATTAAAACATCCCCATTTTGAACGTAACAAAAGAATAGATGCAGTCTTCCATTGTTCTATTTAGAACAGTGTTTCTCAACCTTGGCAACTTGAAGATGTCCGGACTTCAACTCCCAGAATTGAAGTCCGGACATCTTCAAGTTGCCAAGGTTGAGAAACACTGATTTAGAATAACAAGAGTTGGAAGGGACCTTGGAGGTCTTCTAGTCCAACCCCCTGCTTAGGCAGGAAACCCTACAGCACTTCAGACAAATCTCTGACTTACAACCATTCATTTAGCGACTGTCCAAAGTTACAAGGGCTCTGAAGGAAGGGCTTACGACACAGGTCCTCACCCCTATGACCGTTGCAGCGTTCCCTGGGGTGACATGGTAAAAATTGGGGCGCTTGGCATGCAGGTTAGTAACCCGGTTGTTAAGTGAATCCCATTACCCCCTCGACTTTGCTTGTCAGAAGGCCGTAAAGAAAAGGGGAATCACTCAACCGTCATAAATGTGAGTCAGTTGTCATGCATCCAAATGTAAATCACACAACCGTGGGAGCGTGCTGCAACGGTCATAAGCATGAGGAATGGTCATGAGTCCCTTTTTTTTCAGTGCTGCTGCAACTTTGAACGGTCACTAAATGAACTGTTGACGACTGTGTGATTCACTTAACAACGGCAGCGTTTTGGTTAGCAGCCATGGCGAAAAACGTGGTAAATTCAAACATGATTCCTTTAACAGCTCTCTCTCTATATATATACCTTATTTTTCAGACTATAAGACGCACCGGAATATAAGACGCACCCAGATTTTGAAGAGTTAAATTAAAAAAGAAAAAGTTTTTGCACTCTGCACGCCTTGCTTTTTTGTGAAAAATGCGGAATGTAGAGAGTTTGAGAGTCCTGCCAAGCGATCCTATAGGTTGGGAGTGGGGGCATAGAAGAGCAAAAAACGAGTCCATTTTTGCAAAAAAACCCAGGGCATGCATAGGCTTCGGGAGGCTTGTAGAGTGCTCCTAAGGACTGCCCCCCCCCAAAAGAGCAAAAAATGGCACGTTTTCTGCTCGTTTTTGCCCTCCCCAGCCCCCAGGAGCACTTTGCAGGCCTCCCAAACCCTCTGCACGTCCAGTTTTGTGAAGAGGGCAGGGTTTTGGGTGGCCAAAAATACTGTAATTCAGTGTATAAGGTGCACCCAGATTTTCACCCTCTTGGGGTGAAAAAGGTGCGTCTTATACTCCGAAAAATACGGTATATACTTTGCTTAGCAACCGAAATTCTGGTTCCAATTGTGGTCGTACGTCGAGGACTCCCCGTCGCAGTAAAAGAGGTTCCCGACGCCTGCCTCCAACACGCGTGTCCACTTACCTGCTTGTGCATTTCGATGTTCAACCCGTAGGACATTTCATAATACTGGAAGACAAAAGTAACCCAAGGTTAGCCATGGAATTTCTATAAAGGATTTTGAAACGCCAAGAGGCCAGTTTCCCACCCCTATTAAACTGCAGGTGTCAAATCAAATCAAACTTTCAGGGACTCCTTTTACACCTAGAGAGGTCGTTAAAAGCGGCAAAACTCACTTAACAACTATCTTGCTGGGCAACGGAAATGTTGAGCTCAATTGTGGTCGTAAGTCGAGGACCGTTATTTCTGGAAGGGAGGGGTCAAGATGGAGAAGCCGGGGAGCACTGAGCTCCACAGCCAGTCCCGTCCCCCCCCCGCCCTACTTTACTCTCCTTTTTTGCAAACACAGCACAGATAGTCCTCGACTTACAACGGTTCATTTTAGCGACCGTTCACAGTTACAACGGCACTGAAAAAAATGACTTCGGACCGTTTTTCACACTCTCGCGGCTGTTGCGAAATCCCCGCTGTCACGTGATTTACTCCTAGTTGTCTCGTAGTTATGACGGTCGCAGTGTCCCCGGGGTCACGCGATCCCCTTTGGAGACCTTCTGACAAGCCAAGTCGAGGGGGAAGGCAGATTCGCTTAACGACCGTGTTCCTAACTTAAAAATTGCAGAGATTCACTTAGCACCCGTGACCGGTGAGGTCGTAAAACGGGGCAAAACTCACTTAAAAGACGTCTCACTTAGCCACAGAAATTTGGGGCTCAATTGTGATCGTATGTCGGGGATGACTGTGTTGGGGCGTGTCGGTCGCCGGCACCTCCAGCAGCCGAATCGGAGGAGGAGGAGGTGTGGGAGTCAGGGAGGGCATCAAGACAACCTGAGACCTCCGAGGGGGAAGAGGGAATGGAGCCATCAGAGAGAGAGAGACAGAGGCGGTGCCTGGGCTGTCCGTCAGCCCTCAGAGGGAGAGTCAACAGCCCCCAAATCTGGAGGTGACTGATGAGGAAGAGGAGGAACAGCTGGGACCAGTGCCCGATGCACGGATATGCAGAAGGCCAAGGAGAGGAGAGCAGTGGAAATCCATGGGCCGGTCCTTGGGATAGAAGAGCTACCGTTGCTAGCAAGGCCCTATCCTAACTCTGGGGATAAAAGGCAGAGGGCGGAGATGAATAGAGGTGGCAGACAACTATTTATCTTCTTGCCAGATGGACTTGTTAGCCTATGGTAACAGATAAACTTTTTCCTGGGGCTTCGGGCAAAATCTAGGAATCTTTTGAGTTCACATCAGACGGTTTGTTGTGTTTGGGGAGCTGGGTCAGAACAGATTCAGCTGGAAAAACGTAGCACTTGTACCCCCAAAAAACAGGAAAATACACCCGGCAGCAGTGCCAAACCTTCCCACTCGCTCCCCTGATGACAGTTTTCTGTTGTGGCCCAGCAGGAGAGGTTGGAGCTGCCACCAGACTCTGACAGCGAGGGGCCCTATGAATCGGTTCTGGAGGATGTGGAGGACCCTGGACAGGGTTCTGACTCCAAGCAGGGCGCAGAGAGGCTGGTTGGCCACCAGGAGGCGCCTGAGCCTTGGACCAGTGGGGAGGAGACAAGGGAGAATAGTCGAAGTAGTGAGTTGTTCCTGGATGCCCGGCACCAAAGAGCTAATAGGCGTCAGGAACAGTTGCGCAAGTACAGGAGGTAATTGCACTCAGCTGGTAGTCATTAGGCTTCTCTCCAGACTATAAAAAGGACTGCTTGTGCACACGCCCCTCTTGCAGAAGTCAACGCAGGAACGAATGTCGGAGAACATTATGGTGAGCTTGGCAGGCTGGATTGCTGCCAAGGCTTATCTGTGCCGGTTTGCTGTCAAGGACCTGTCTGTCTGTTAATTAAATGCCGTAACTTATCTTTGGCTTGGAGTGTGTGTTGGTGTGGGACGAGGGGGGGTCAGAACAGCTTTCTACTACAGTTCCCATCATCCTCAACTACAGGCCAATGAAGAGGCAAGAGGGAGGGCTCTAAAACTCCCTTTCCTGGCAAGCTCAGCCTGGCATTTAATCAGTACCATAAAAGTTGCTCACCATGACATAATGTCGCTGAATTTCTGTCTTCTCCGTGGCCAGTTTCTCGCACTCAAGCTTCAAGCTGTGAAGATAAAAGGAAGACCACAGATTGCACCGTCCTTCGAGCTCCTTCAAAGAAACAGAGGTGTCTGGATGAGCCTCTAAGCCAGAGACACCCCCCCTCCCAACCTTTGGGGTACCAGGAACCGATTCCGTAGAGAGAGGATTTTCCCATGGACCGGAGGGGACATGGTTTCATGTGCTGCTTGCATCCCGTGGATGAGACTTCACTTGTTTGCATGGCCCAGGTTTTTTGGCGTGCCACCGCCTGGTTTTGGGGGACACCTGTGTCAGGGTGTCAAGTAATACATCCATAGCAAGCACAACTCCAAGGCAGCTAGATTTCTCAAAGAATAGCATTATTGGATATATAGAGTAGAGTAGAGTAGAATTAGAACAGAACAGAACAAGAGGGTAGGGTAGAGTAGAATGGAACAGAACAGGAGGGTAGGGTAGGATAGAATAGAACAGAACAAGAGAGTAGAACAGAGTAGAACAGAAAAAGAGGGTAGGATAGAGTAGAATGCAACAGAACAGTAGAGTAGAATAGAATAGAATAGAATAGAACAGAACAAGAGGTAGGGTAGGATAGAGTAGAGTAGGATAAAATAGAGTAGAAGAGAAGAGAACAAGAGAGTAGGTAGGATAGGGTACAACAGAACAGGAGAATAGAGTAGAATAGACCACAACGGAAAAAGAGGATAGGATAGGGTAGAATACAATAGAACAGAACAAGAGAGTAGAGTAGAACAGAACAAGAGGTAGGGTAGAGTAGAGTAGAGTAGAATAGAATTAGAACAGAACAAGAGGCTAGGGTAGAGTAGAATGGAACAGAACAGAACAAGAGGGTAGGTTAGGGTAGAGTAAAGTAGAACAGAACAAGTGGTAGGGTAGAATAGAGTAGAGAGAACAGAACAGAACAGAACAAGAGGGTAGGTTAGGGTAGAGTAAAGTAGAACAGAACAGGAGGGTAGGGTGGAGTAGAGTAGAGTACAATAGAACAGAACAAGAGGTAGAGTAGAGTAGAATAGAATTAGAACAGAACAAGAGGGTAGGATAGAGTAGAATGGAACAGAACAAGAAGGTAGGGTAGAGTAGAGTAGGATAGAATAGAGTTGAATAGAATAGAACAGAAGAGGGTAGAATAGAGTAGAGTAGAGTAGAGTAGAAGAGAACAAGAGGGTAGGTTAGGGTAGAGTAGAGTAGAACAGAACAAGAGGGTAGGGTGGAGTAGAGTAGAGTACAATAGAACAGAACAAGAGGTAGAATAGAGTAGAATAGAATTAGAACAGAACAAGAGGCTAGGGTAGAGTAGAATGGAACAGAACAGAACAAGAGGGTAGGGCAGAGTACAGTAGAGTAGGATAGAATAGAGTAGAATAGAATAGAACAGAACAAGAGGGTAGAGTAGAACAGAACAACAGGGTAGGGCAGGGCAGGGCAGAGTAGAGTAGAATAGAACAGAACAAGAGGGTAGATTAGGGTAGAGTAGAACAGAACAAGAGGGTCAAGTAGGTAGGAGAATAGAGAATAAAGATAGGATAGGGTAGCATACAATAGAATTCAATAGATTACAATAGAATAACAGAGTTGGAAGGGACCTGGGAGGTCTTCTAGTCCAACCCCTGCGTTGGCAGAAGACCCTACACCACTTCAGACAAATGGCTATCCAACCTCTTCTTAAAAACTTCCACTATTTCCCCAAAAAACTATTGGCGCAGATCTGATGAAAACCGACTCTGAAAGTTCCCGCGGTTTCCACCTAATTAAAAGTGAAAGTTTTCCCCTCAACCCCAAACAATCCGGTCACGTGGTCCAATCAAGGCGCTGGCTGGTTGCCTGGGGACATCACTCCTCCTTCCTCTGGCCAGGGGTGAGAATGTCCTTGGTTCCCGAGAGAAAGTATTTCATTTTGGCTACAAAACCCCAGCTATCTCTATTCCCCCCGCCCCCCTATACCTCGGCTCCAGGGTGGCAACAATGAAGCCCCAAGATGGCTTTGGTCAGGTCAGCTTCAGGGTTGACACCCTGCTCTAGGCCCTTGAGGGGGCCCGGTTCACACAAGCCCAGCCTAACCTTGTACCCCATTCCTGCTAAATTGTCTTTCCCTTTTAGAAAAAAAAAAACAAAAACTCAAAATAACGGTGCCGATCAAAGATACCGTTTTCCCAGGGAAGAAAACCTCGATGCGGTTCCCTGCATAAATCATGCAAATACAGATCCGCATTTGCATAATGTATTCTAGCCCCTGTCTAGTTTGCATAATCTATTCACAGCTTCAGCCAAGAGAGCCGCGTTCCCCAAAATTGCTTTGGTTGAAGCAAAAGGAATAGCGCTTCCGACTTATATACAGCTTCACAGTGCTTTGCAGCCCTCCAGAAGCGGTTTACAGAGTCAGCCTTATCACCATCATCATTTAAAGACCCCATAATCCCTTGCGGGGTGGAGTCTGAGCAACTGAATGGAGCTAGCAGAACGTTTAATGGCCAGATGCCCTTCCTGTCGCCAATGAGGAGTTTTGTCCAGCAGATATATTCCCTTTGCGCCCAGAGAGAGAAATATCTGCCTCTACCTAGGAGTGAACTCACAGTCTCCTGATTGTGAGACAAGAGCTCCACCAGTAGGCCACCGCACCACTCCTTTACAGAGTTAGCATATTGCCCCAAACAATCTGGGTCCTCATTTTACCGACCACAGGAGGACGGAAGGCTGAATCAACCTTGAACCAGTGAGAATCGAACTGCTGGCAGTCGGCAGAGTTTGCCTGCAATACTGCATTCTAACCACTGTGCCACCACGGCCCTCATCCCATTTTAGCTACCCTCCTTGCACTGTCTGGTGTCCTCACGCACCATGCGCAGTCATGAGTCCTAGAAACTTGAACAGCTTAAAAACTCTCAATTTCATTCAGCTTAACCGGTTTGATATTTAGCATTGAAGCCTCTTGTAAGTGGCCCAGAGTCTCTCCAACGGTGAGATGGGCGGCACATACAATGAATAAATCAATGAATTAAATCAGGGCTCAGTGGCTGAGCTTGTTGATCAGAAAGCAGTTCGGCGGTTCGAATCCTTAGCACCATGTAACGGAGTGAGCTCCTGTTACTTGTCCCAGCTTCTGCCAATTTAGCAGTTCAAAAAGATGTAAAAAATGCAAGTAGAAAAATAGGAACCACCTTTGGTGGGAAGGGAACAGCGTTCCGTGCGCCTTCGGCATTGAGTCATGCCAGCTACATGACCACGGAGACGTCTTCGGACAGCGCTGGCTCTTTTCGAACGGCCGACTTTTCTGATCTACAAGCTGAGCGTCTTAGCCACTGAGCCACCGCGTCCCTTAGACCTTTTAAGAAAGGTCACAAAACGGGGAAAAACCTGCTTAGCAACCGAAATTTGGGGTTCAATTGTGGTTGCTAAAATCAAAGACCACAGCCTCTTTGGATTGCAAAAGGCTCCTTACCCAGAGGGACCAAAACCATCCAAACGCTTCACGGTAGCTCTGAGGATTAAATTAGGAATTGAAAGGCTGGCTTCGGGGTGTACACACAAACACACACACACACACACAAACACACACAGGCACACACTCACCAGGATCAAAGGAAGAAGCCCCACTATCCAGCTCAACATCCCCTGGGAAAACGGCCGTCTGTTGTTTTTTTTACCTGTGGTACTGGTTCTGCAAAAACTGGAATTCTTCTTTGATCCGGTCCAAAATCTCCGGGTAAGTCAGTTTCAAAGACTGAGGGGTGGTGGATACGACGCTGGCGGCAGCCGTGGCGGCAACAGCCGTGGTGGCCATAGGCGGCGTCTGCAGGTGAGCCTGGAAGGGAGATGGCGAGATACAGTGGCAAAATGACCCACGGCAGAGCAAGCATCACGCGCCGGCCCTCGTTTCCCCGCTCCCATTCCGTTGTCCCCTTTGGAAAGAGGCCTGCCTGCCCCCTCTTCCCCTCCCTCCCTCTTTCCCAAGGGTGATTCGCTTAATGACCACTGCAATAACAGTGGCCATCCATCTGTCCGGTCGCACAATGATTATTAAAGGAGCATCCTATGCAATTCTTCTGCAAATCGGACCATTGCGAACAATGGGGGTCACTTCATGACCTGGATTCACATAACCATGATGGAGAATTCTGGGAGTTGAAGTCCACGAGACTTAAAAGTTGCCATGGTTCGACGTCCCCAGGTGAAAGAATTGCTTGGAGGAAAACTTTTATAAATCTAGAAATGCTTTAACCCAGGGGGGTCACTGTTGTGGCCCAGCAGGAGCCGTTGGAGCTGCCGATGGACTCCGATAGCCAGGACCCCTATGAGTCTGCTATGGAAGATGTGGAGGACCCTGGGCAGGGTTCAGACTCAGAGCAGGGACCAGAGAGGCTGGTTGGCCACCAGGAAGCGCCTGAGGCATGGAGCAGTGGGGAAGATCAAAGGGAGTTTGTCCCTGACGCCAGGCAATGGAGCAGTGGGGAA